TCCGTCGTCCAGGGCTTTACTAATTGACTATTTTTTCCACTTTCTCTCTTGCCCAGCATTCTCTCTAGTAGACTGCTTTCTTCCTCCATCCTGACTTGCCTACCCAGACATGGCTGTATGTTAAAGTTTGCAAGTGGCTAGTTTTCCTCAATGCATCTAGGTACTCGGGATACCGGGGTCTCTAGCCACGTCTTCCTAAGTAGTGGCCATACATTTGAAGCCATCACGAGTGTCAGTCATATTATGCTTGGAGTTTATCTTCATAGTTCTGTTCACTACTCAGAAGACTGACTGCCCTTTCCAGGGCAATAACTTATAGCTCCCCTTGTCCCTCCCCTTAAACATTTCACCTGTCCCTGGTGCTGTGGTGCCAATATACTGTTAATGGTACCAGGAAGGGATGACTCTCCTATTCTGCCCACTTCCGTTCGTAGAAACTTACTGTAAAGAACACCTTCCAAAAGTAGCTTATTGTTTTTATGGTCCCAAGCTCTTTAGACACCTAGTTAATGCCCATCTCATGGAGAAGGGGGTATCCTAAGCTGGATATAATCCAAAACCATGACTTGATCTGTATCCTGCAGGGCATGGCCTTCCTCCATAACAGCATTATTGCATCCCATGGGAGTCTCAAGTCCTCCAACTGCGTGGTGGATAGTCGTTTTGTGCTCAAAATCACAGACTATGGCCTGGCCAGCTTCCGCTCAACTGCTGAACCTGATGACAGCCACGCCCTCTATGCCAGTGAGGCCCTCCCCCACAACCCAGTTTTATATTTCTCCTCTGGCCTTGACCATTTCCATCTAGGGAGTGTGGGAGAGGGAGATGGAATGACAGTAATATGGGGAGTATTATGGGCTTGGGGACACTCTTTTTGAGGACCTGGCCAGCCTGTTCCCTCTTTTCAGAGAAGCTGTGGACTGCCCCAGAACTGTTGGGTGGGAACCCACTGCCAACCACGGGCATGCAGAAGGCTGATGTCTATAGCTTCGGGATCATCTTACAGGAGATAGCACTTCGCAGTGGCCCTTTCTACTTGGAGGGCCTGGACCTCAGCCCCAAAGGTGAGAGTCAATCTACTGCCCATAGACTCCTCTACCTAGGGGACACTGTTCTTCATCCAAACCCTTTATCACCCTCAGAGATTGTCCAGAAGGTCCGAAATGGTCAGCGGCCATATTTCCGGCCAAGCATTGACCGGACCCAGCTGAATGAAGAGCTGGTCTTGCTGATGGAGCGATGTTGGGCCCAGGAACCCACTGAGCGGCCAGACTTTGGACAAATTAAGGGCTTCATTCGCCGCTTTAACAAGTGAGAGGGCACTAAGGGGCGTGGGCTCCCCAGGGATAGAAGCCTCATCAGTTTTGGTGGAGGAGGTGGGGCTGGTGGGGCAAAGAGGGTAGGTTGGGTAGGAAGTCCTGGGAGTCTTGAGAGAGTGGGAGCACGTACCATATCCTGGCCTCCCCCCAGGGAGGGCGGCACAAGCATATTGGACAACCTGCTGTTGCGCATGGAGCAGTATGCCAATAACCTGGAGAAGCTGGTGGAGGAGCGCACACAGGCCTATCTGGAGGAGAAACGCAAGGCTGAGGCTCTGCTCTACCAAATTCTACCCCAGTGAGACTTTGGTCACCTTCCCAGATTTTCCTTTGGTATTCTGCGCTGTTGGGTTCTCCCTGCTCAAGCTCCTGAGAACTCACTTCCCAGCTCTTAGAACCCTGCTTTGTTTCATCCTGACGCAGTGAGACTTTTTGGCTATAGCCTGTGTGTTTTCATTCTGTCCCTGAATGAGATATGCTGCCTTCTTCTTGGCTTCCCGTCCCTTCTTTTTAGGACACGGCTCTACCATGCCTTTGCTCTAGCAAGTGGATATAGGACAATCCCAATTTGAGACATTTAGCCCCCATCCCCAGGGGTCCCCTTCCAACCCCCACCACTTAAATACTTTACCTTGAGCTAGTCCCGTCACCTTCCTTCTCTTCTACCCGGCTTGGCTTTCACGTTATAATGCGTCTCTGCTCTGCCACGCACTCATTTCCTCTCTCCTCCCATCCTCTCTCTCTGAGTTTGGCCCTTGCTTCCTAGTTCAGTGGCAGAGCAGTTAAAACGGGGAGAGACTGTACAGGCTGAGGCCTTTGACAGTGTTACCATCTACTTCAGTGACATTGTTGGCTTCACAGCTTTGTCAGCAGAGAGCACCCCCATGCAGGTGAGAACCAGGAGTGAGAAGTAGGGGGCGGGATAGGGATCTGGGGGAGCTTCGTTGGGGGCATAGGGAGCCTTGATAGTAGGGGAGATTCATTTGTTCTGGAGATCCCATATTTTGTTAGGGCTTATGGGTTAAGAATTCTTAGAAAGCTAGGTTCAAGTCTCAGGGACTATACTTTCCCATCCTTGTTAGGTGGTGACACTTCTTAATGACCTGTATACCTGCTTTGATGCCATAATTGACAACTTTGACGTCTACAAGGTGAGAGCTGGGGCTACCCTCCTTTGGAGACCACCTTGAAAACCCAATCTCTCCAAACCCTATATGCCTTACCCTGCTCGATGGTCAGTTTGCCCTCCTGGCTCTCAACACCCTAATACTGGGGGCCCTTTGTAGACAAATGAGGCTCTGGCCCTCTTACTGTATCTTTCTGATTTCTTGTGAATCTTTAGGCTTCCCTAATCAGAACCATCACAGGATTTAGCCCCCATCTGCCACTTTTTGCCTAGGGTTATAAATACAGCCTGTCCATCTTTTCTCAATCTCTCCATCCCTTCTAGACATGGAAGAATCATATGGGATGTAGGTACAGAATGATTTATTAGGGCGAGAGACAGGCTACCTTGTAAAAAATTTTGTTAAGTCATTGAGTTGGCACAGAGCAAGCTTTATTATACTTCAGAGTAAAAACCATTGGGATTTAGGTGTTGATTTTGTGACTAATTGTGTGGCCTTGGGCAAGTAACTGGAAATCTCCTTGAGTGTCAGGAATTTTATCTATAAGTTAGGAATAATAGATTTATTGTGGAAAGTGTCTAATACTGCATAGTTAATACTATTCCTGTCCCTTCCCTTTGGACTTACTCTACCATGTCTTTCATACTGTAACGTAGAACTCCCGTACACTCTTCACCCAGAATCACCAGTTATTTGTAATTTACCTCACTTGCCTTATTTTTTAAAAATCTGTATGTCTATATAATTATTTTCTGGATTATTTGAGAGTAAGTTACAGGCATGATGCCCCTTTATCCCTAAATGGTTCAGTGTCTGGTTCCTAAAAACAGGCCATTCTTTTGTGTACTTCAGTACAATTAACAAAGCCAAGCGGCTGCTTTCTTACCTTGCACAGTTCAGGCTGTCTGAGGCCTATTTCAATGGGCCTGCTTGCCCTCCTCACCAGCCTCTGTGCTCTTCAGGGCAGCCCTGTTTTCTTGCTTCCCATTTCCTGACAGCAGAACTTATTTGTCCATGTCTTGTTGCAGAGCAGGTATCCATTCATTCAGCAAACATTTACTGATAATGTTTGCCATGTACAGGGATGGGATAGGAGGATTTAAAGATTCCCTTAAACTGAGCCCACCCACCTCTACCCCCGCCAATTCTCACTTATTTTCCAGTCAATGTGCTGGCCTCCCAGGCTGTTCGGTTGACTCATAGTGGTGTCCAGCTTATCTCCTTCTATGCTTCTCCATTCCCACTGATACACATAGAGGTGACATTTTAATCCCCATCTCAATCAGGTAGAAACGATTGGAGATGCCTACATGGTGGTATCTGGCCTACCAGGCCGAAACGGTCAGCGCCATGCCCCGGAAATTGCTCGTATGGCCCTAGCATTACTGGATGCAGTTTCTTCCTTCCGCATCCGCCACCGACCACATGACCAGCTGAGGCTACGCATAGGGGTCCACACGGGTAAGGCTGACTCTCCCCCCAGTCCTTGTGCCTGCTTTCCCCAGGTTCTCCCAACCTGTTTCTTCTTCTAGGGCCCGTCTGCGCTGGGGTTGTTGGCCTGAAGATGCCCCGCTATTGTCTTTTTGGAGACACGGTGAACACTGCTTCCCGCATGGAGTCTAACGGTCAAGGTAAAACATCAGCCCTCAACCCCAGCCTTAGCCTCAATGTGTGTTGTCCTTTTCTTCTTTTCAGAGTTCCTCCAAATCTCTCAATCTGAGAGACCACAGTTCCTGACTGCCCCATCCTTGGACATATTTTGGTTCTAGTGCCTGTGCCCTGGGAAAGACTGAGAGCCTCCTGAGGGGTGGTGGTCTGGTAAAGCTCTCTCCGATACCGCCATTTCTTCTATTGTCTTTTCTTTGATTCATCTCCCCACCATCCCCACACCCCGTCCCACTCCAGCCCTGAAGATCCATGTCTCCTCTACCACCAAGGATGCCCTGGATGAGCTAGGATGCTTCCAGCTAGAGCTTCGGGGGGATGTGGAGATGAAGGTGATGGCAGGCCATGAGGAGGGATCAGGGAAAGGGAGGATGAAAGCAATTATGGGACCAGGGGGGACAGACAGAGATGAAGGAATACCATAGAAGAATCTGAATTATCTTCACTCCCCCACTTCCAGGGAAAAGGAAAGATGCGAACTTACTGGCTCTTAGGAGAGCGGAAAGGACCCACTGGACTCCTGTAGAACCTACTTCTTCCCAAGTCAGACAGTCTCCTGCTGCTGGTACCTGGGTGGGCAGTGGTCACCATCTCTCCACACACCAGAAATGGACATTGTCGTGTAAGATGGAAACCAACATGCACAAACCCTGCCTTATATGGAAGTTGTTGCTCTTTGCAGCTCAGCCTTGTACATATACCTGCCTCGCTCTGGCTAGGTTCCCTTCTTCCTTACCTTCTGTAAATATCTGTATCTAAACCAGAATATTTTGGCCAAATATAAAACAACAAAAAATGTCATGATGTCAGAGTCTGGGTTAGGGGCAAGTCCAAGGAAAGGTTATGGGATGTGAACATGGTAACGCATGGATTCACTGAAATAGCAGTCTCAGGGTGAGAGAGAACCCTTTATGGAAAGCCCCTTCACCAAGTACAGACAGAATCGCCTTCCTTCCCACCTCTCCAGTACAGACGGAAATGGATTCTGTATTCCACACCCCTCTTCCCGCCTCAACTCTTAGATAGTAGTTCTACCCATTTCCCCACCCTGTGCTCCCTGACAGGCAAGGGAGGATATTTCTCCCAGTTGGTGGGAAGAATTCTCAGGTTCATAGGGCAAAGGCTGCCCCAGAGACAAAGGCACTGGTGTTGAGAAACTGCAGTTCTTCCGGAATGGTGTATCCAGTGTCTTGATGTTACTGACACCCTAGGGGAGAGCCAGAATGAGGACAGATCCTGCTCTGCGCCAAGCCTGAACAGAACACCTCTTCCCCTCCTTCTTCTCCCCGACTCCCAATACCCTTACACACCGGTAGCTGCGGTGCCCTCTGTATCCAAAAGGTTTCAGGCTGCTCCTGACGGTAGTCATGAGGCTGTAAGGGAGAAAACCTGAAAAGCTCTTGGTTTGAATCTTCCTCTCTTAACCTCTGCTACTTTCCCACAGCCCATTAGAAGCCAGCTGTACAAGTGGGATGGGATAAGCTCTCACCTTGGTTGGGGCAGGAGGCCCGGCGTGTACCAGCTCCTTTTGGTAGTCATGGTGTGTCACAGACTCGACCTCAGATTGCTTCCCTGCGGGTTCCTGCTCTGCCTGCACCTCTTTACTATATAGTCCTGGGAGGTGTCAGAGCCATTCTTTCCAGATTTTTGTCTTCCCCCATCCCCTTTACCCTTCTCCCAGCCTCTTACCAGATCTGATGGTGCAGGAGCATCTCCAGCATGGCTTCCCGCTTTCCTGTGGGAGGGCAGGGAGTGGAGAGAGTGGGGGGAGTCTGGTTAAGAAGCAGGCCCAGAAGAAACAAATGTGAGAAAAGGAAGGAGAATCGTGGGGTTTTACCCTTCTACCCATCAGACAATCCATAGTCCTACCAGAAATTCTTTCCTCTCTCTTTTCTCTAATGGGCTCATGCCCATTCTCTCATGCTTCCCACCTCGAATTGGTTGATAGTAGTTTCGTGGGGGCTGGTACGAGTCTTTCTGGGTGGTGCTGAAGGACATGGGTGACTGTTGCTGTTGGGTCAGCAGTCCCTGGTGTCCATGTCGGAAGAAGAAACTCTCAGAGCCATCCTGCATACTTGGGACTTGATCCAGGTGGTTGGTGGCTCTCTGTGGGCCCCAAGGTGAGTGACCAAGATATCCTTTATGGTACCCACCCTCATAATAAACTACTGCCTCCCCCAGGAAACTGGGGGCAGTCTTCAGGAAAAGGCTGAAACCTTAATACCTCCTCCTCCCAGTTGTATAGAAGGCAGTGTCCCCGTGGCAATGTTTCTTTGAGAACCTTACACTTCTCTTCAACTTGGGGGGTCTTCCATTGCCCTCGTGCACCAGGTTCTGGGACTTGCAAACTTTTCCAGGGTTGTTTCTGAGGTTCCCAGCAGCAGTAGTGATTCCAGCAGGAATAATTAGGGACCAGCTCTGCCCCAAGGTTTCTGAAGCTTGGGAGATTGCAGAGGCTGAGCTGAGGGTCATGGCCACGGTCTGGACTAGGCCCAGATTCAGTGGCAGGACCAGGGCCAGAATCAGAACCAGTCCCTTGACCAGAGTCACAGCCAGGGCCAGAGCCATGGCCAGGACCAGAACTGGAGCCAGTAACAGGGCCAGGACTAGAGCTACGGTCATTTGTAGTACAGGGATCCTGGGTGAAACGGGAAGCATAGACAGGCTCAAAGCCAAGTCTCCTCTGGTCTATCTTGTGGGTAAAGCTGGCTCCAGTGCAGGGCTCCCCAGGAAGACTGTCAGAGGAGCGGTCCATGAGAACACTCGGCTCAGAGTAGCGGACTCGGGTCTTCGTAGATAACGCATCGGTTTTGGCGGTGGAGGCAGCTACAGATGCAGTAGTTGCAGCTGCCAGGACCGACCTAGGATGGCCATCCAAAGGAAACGGTTCTGAAGAAGACCTGAGCCCTCCAGCGCCAGGCTGCACGTCCAAAGATCTAAAAGGAAGTGAATACGTCAAAAGCGCAGCCCAGTAAGTCGGCTGACCTTTCTTGTACCCTTACACCTGCAGCCAAAGCTGCCGCTCTCACCGAGACCGCGATCCCTCGGTAGGCTCGGTGGTCTCCATCTTCCGGCAGCAGCTACTGGGTTGCCATAGAGACGGCAAATAATTCCAGGAGTCTGCGCAGAACTAGAGTTGGGCGGAAGTGCTGGGGGGGGGGCGGTGAAGGCAAATTCTCTGCGGGGCGAAGGCAAATTCTCTGCGGGGCGGAAGTCTTCAACCTGCTGCTGTCTGGGAAGTTTGCTTTCCATTCAGACTCCCTTCCGCCTCAGCCCAGCTTTTAAGGTTCCGCTGGCCTACGGCCCTGCCTTCTACACTTAAGCGTGATTCTTTTGAGGCTTTCTAAGGTGGCTCTTTGTGTTGGAGACAAGCACAGGGCTGGAGTATCAGACTAAAGCATACTTGGTGTGCTTGTGTAGGGGCAACAGTAACTTCCCCTTAGTTCATTCTCAAAAGTGGAGGTAGTCTTTTTAAAATGTTTAAGGTTGAAAATACATTAGAAAACTCAAAAGCAAAACGGTGAGACATGGGGATCAGTCAAAGGGTAGCAGCCTTTTCGTGTGGTTACTTCTTCAGTAAAAGGCCCTCATGTTAAGGCCATCCTCCTCTCAGACCCCCTAGAACTTGGCTTGGCATTTGAATGAGGGCCAGGATTGAGCAGGTCTCCCCCGTGGGTTTCAGTCTCTTCCTACTCACACAGGCTTATTCCTACTGCTACTTTTCTAGAAGCTTGACCCAGGTAGATCATTAGTCATGAGGACTCACAGACCTATAGGCAAATGCTTCTTTAACTACAGGATGGGCCTCCTTAATGTCTTTCACTCAGTCCATAGTTGATAGAGATCATTGTGTTTAATCAGTGTTCTTTCCTATTTGTGGTATCTTTATATATTTAAGACAGTGATCCAAAATCGAGGGAGAGCAAGTTTATTAGCATCATAGGGTTCATTCCCCGCCACGCTCCAAGCATCCAGGTCTGGGGTTCTTGGTCAGTTGGCAGGTTCAACCTGGAGGCCACTGGAGCTGTCGACCCCCAAGTACGTGAATGTGCAGATGATACACAGACTGTGCACCCAGCTTCCCATCATTTATCACTGAAATAGAGCGTGGGGTTATGGAACATGGGAAAGGTCAAAGACTAAAGATCAGACTGAGGGACAGGTTTGAGAATTTATAGGTGAGAGGCTCAAGGGCCAAAAGTCACTCACCAAGTCGGTATCCATCTCCCAGGCCCTCAGCCTTTGCTGTCTTCTTGGCCACAAGGAGAAGGTGTCCTAGAAGCTACAGGGAAAGGGGAGGGAGACAGGTGGCTTCATTTACAGGGAGAAAAACCTCTAGCTGTTGTCCAGGGCTCCCCTACCCCAAAGCCAAATGTTGGCTCTGCTCTTCCCACCTGCTGGTCCTCTTCTTCAGCCTGGCTAATCCGAGGAATGGGCTTCTTAGGAATGACAAGGAAGTGCACAGGAGCTTGAGGCGCCACATCACGGAATACAAGACACTGGGAGTAGTGACAGGCCAGAGGCCACCATGTTACTTTTTAACAGGCTGATGTATCTCACAAGTTCCTAAGGGAACGAACCCTAAAGGCACCCCACCTGCTGGTCCTCATATAGAATATCAGCTGGGAGGCTTCGATCCAGGATCCGGGAGAAGACCGTTGGGGCTGCTCCCTTAGGAGCTGTCTGCTGGGCCTTGGCCACTTCATTTCCATCAGTCACACCAGCAGCTCCTCGGACCTGAAGGTGGGTCAGACATACCCAAGGGAGGGAGCTGACAATACCTTTCCCATATAGTGAGTCAGGGCTCGCAGAGGCTGGGTTCTGTTAGTCATTAACTTCATTCTTCTTAGAACCTATTAGTGTTTCCCATCCAAAAGACAAGTTCCTGAATTTCAGAACATCAGCAGCAAAGAGTAGGGTTATAGTGCTGACCTTGGTTAGATAAAGGCCGTATTACAATGCAGGATTCAGCGGTGCAACTGATTCCTGTTCCTAACGTGTCTAGTAAATTTAGTTACTGTTCGGAGGAAAGGACACAGGATGAGAACTGGACACTTAGGTCCCAGTTCTTCTTTTACCACTGAATTACCTTAGATAAATCCCTCCTCTTGGCTTTAAATATAAAATAAAGGGAGTGGTTTGTATCACCTTTGAGACCACTGGAGCCCTTTCCATTTACTCACACCTTGTTACTAAGTTTCCACTTATTTCCATTACCTGTTGCCTGATCTTTCAGTTGTGTTACCCGTTTTATTCAAGTTTGACACAAGCACGTCTTGATGTCAGATCTGACCTCTGACTGAATTTTAACTTCAGTCCCTTAAATCAGTGAAGGGAAGAATTATGTGAACTCAGCAACCCCAGCCCCAGGGGATTGTGGGTAGGGAGGCCCCAGTTTCCCAGGGGCTCAGAGAAGGCTGAAGTCAGTGTTGTCACATTGTGGGAGAAAGAGGTGGGATGAATCTGACCCCTCTGACAAGTGGAGAAGATGAGAGGTTAATACGTGTGCTCAGGCGGCCAGGGGCCTGACAGGGGCAGGAGACGGGCTCTGAGAAGACAAACTTCACTTCCTGCAGGGGGCGCCGAGGAGGCTGCCTGGAGCAGGCGTTCGGTCACCTGGGTTTCAGGTAGGCTTAGAAGGCAGCAGCCAATCCACTGACCTTTCGCGACCTCGGCGTCCCCGCCGGTGCAGGGCGTCGGCCACCGCCGCCCACCAGCCCGACCTCACCGCACAGCCCCGGAGCTTGCACCACGGGAGGGGCACCGTTCCTTGCCCGGCGTCCGGGCTCCGTTCCCGCGAGGCCGCAAGGCCGCGCGCGCCTGGGGGAGGAACGCCAACACCCGGCCCGGAGAACGGCAGTGCCCGCGGGACGCCCTCTGTGCTCCCACGGTCGCTTCTCACCTGTGCCCCCCGCGGCCCCGCCACCGCCACCGCCCTGCGCGCCACGCACAGCCCAGCAGCCAGCGCCAGGGCGGCCGCCATCTTGCCCCTCAGTCGCCGAACCTTTCTCCGTACCCCAGTACGCGGGCCCCGCCGCCAGCCCGAGGTGGGTCCTCCCGGGAGCCGGTGAGCGGCAGCCATTGGCTCCGCCGGCCGCCGCGAGCGAGCCCTACCATCCCATTGGTCGCGCTTCTGGGCCGCTTGCTGCCCTTTAGCCCAGAGGGTGGCGCCGTTCACTCCGCCGGCTCCGCCACCACCCCGGAGGCGGAATCTTTTCATCCCATTGGCTTCTTCTGCCATCTGGAGGGCGAGTGTTCCACTCCATTGGCCTCGACTTCTGGTCAGAGTGAAGGTTCCTTCGCCATTGGGCCCCCTAAGTAGTTTCGCCAAGAGAGTATCTCACTCCATTGGAAGGTTTAGGAGACCAGGTGGGATTTTCCTCCAATTGGCTCTGCTGCACCGCACTCGTGTGGCACCAAGCCCCCTAAGGTCGTGGACCCTCTCCCGGCATTGGCCAGGAAGAGGGCGGGTTCTGTGAAAGCTCGGCGCTGGCTGGCTCCTGGAACCACCGCAACCCGTGAAGGCCAAGGCCACGCAGGGGGGCGGGGCGGCGGCGCCAGGCGAGTGGGGCAGAAGGCGAACTGGGAGGGGGGTCCTTTAACTGGTGGGGTAGATACCCAGCTTCCTTCCTACAAGGGCATTTCAGCCCCTTGAGCATTTCAGAGATTTTTTAAATTTACTCATCTAAGGGCAGTTTCTCCTTAGTTTATGTTCTTGTGTCCAAACACCAAGATTGAAGATTCTGCAGTTTGTTTTCAGGGCATTTTTTTTTTTCCTTTTTTCCCCTTTCTTTTTAAACGGGGGTGCGACGGGAGGGGCCTGTCTTTGCCACACGACTAATAAGCAAAGGCACCGGTATCCAGTGTTCTTTCCTAATCAGAAATGGTTAGCCTTGCTTTGGCATTTTCAGTTAGTCAGGTTTGAAGAACAAGGGAAAATGCGTCAGAAATATATTTTGTTTTGCCGGAATATATATTTTTGACAGAAGGAACAGGGGTCACAGAGTGCTGATATACTCACACAGTTAAGTTTTAGTATGACTTCAACACTTAGGACAAAAGCCACCACTGTATCTTTAGTATTTTTTGTGGTTTTTTTTTTAGCTCATGTCCTTGACATAGATAGGTGCTCAATGATTGTGGAATGAATAATATTTGGTGTTTCATTTGCTTTCATAATATGTAATATGTTTAAAATATATATGTTTAAAACATGTAATGTTTAAAATGTTTTAAAATATGGGGCGCCTGGGTGGCTCAGTTGGTTGAGCGACTGCCTTCGGCTCAGGTCATGATCCCGGACTTCCAGGATCGAGTCCCGCATCAGGTTCCCAGCTCTTTGGGGAGTCTGCTTCTCCCTCTGACCTTCTCCTCTCTCATGCTCTCTCTCTCATTCTCTCTCAAATAAATAAATAAAATCTTTTTAAAAAATGTTTTAAAATATTACATAATATGTAATATTTCATAATATGTAATGCCCCTGACAATCAATTTTCCATATTATTAGTCTATGTAAATATACTTTGTAATGTCTGCCTATTATTTATTAGTTTTTAAGATTTTACTTTAGTTGAGAGAGAGAGAGAATGAGCGGTGGGATGAGGGCAGAGGGAGAAGACAGAAGCAGACTCCCTGCTGAGCAGGAAGCAAGATGCCTCAGCCCATTCAGGGCTCCCGTCCCAGGACCTGGAGATCACCACCTGAGCCCAAGGTAGATGCCCAAGTGACTAAGCCACAAAGGCACCCTCTGCATATTATTTATTTGAATGAGTTTTCACAGTAGCCTTTCCTTTACTGCTGACTATTGAATTAGTTTTAGTGAATGGTCATTATGGCGCTAATTGCATATCACCAGCCAAGAACAACTCTTTGCTTCCAGAGATAGTAACCACATTTGCTATAGCCGTATTATTGTTAGAAAGTCCTTTTATCCTCCAAAGGGCAGACATTTGACCCTGTACTTTCCTCTAGGAGTTCTAGCAGTCTAGATTGCATCTCTTCCTAGCTTCCCCAAATGTGGGGAAATGTAGACTGGCCTTTTCTGTGCCCTAGAGGTTACATGCAGTTCTCTGTGGTGCCTCTGAGAACGCAGCAGCCCATAGAGCTGCTTTGGAGAAGCTCAAGAGGTAAGAGGAGCTGGGATCTAGGAAGGGGAAGGAAACTGGCCAGGCATGGTAGACGACAACAAAGCGCTTTGAAACTGGTTATTTCTTTGGGTTCTCAGGGGGAGCAGGTAGCACAGAGATTATTCTTTTACAGAGCCAGAAACTGAGGCCCAGAGAGGGCTTGCCTAGGATCACAGAGCCCATTAGAGCCCGAATCTCCTACTCCTTGTAAAAATAACTATGATTCACTGATTTTGGCCACAGTCACTGGTTTCGGCCCCTTGCCCACAGTTCTTTACTCCAAGTCTTTGTGATCCCTGGCAGATCTCTCATCTAAGAGCTGCAGCTCTCTGTAGGTTCTGACCAATGTCTCCTGTACTTATCCCCACCACTACATCAGCTACTGGACCTCATTAGAGACTTCTGTTCTTTGTTCTTTTTTTTTCCAGTTTGTCATTTGCTTCCTGGCTTTACTTTCTGTCCATTTGTGTGGTCAGCTCTCCCCACATTCTCAAGCCTTCTTTTTGACTTTCCTGATCATCCTTCCTGACACCCTCCCATCATCAGCTATCAATCTAACTCAATCTAACTATTGTGTTTCTCTTCCTCTTTAGGTTCCTGCTTCCAGCTGTACCTGAATCCTCAACTACCCACTGATTAGGTTTTTCTGTGATTCCCCACATCAGCCTTCGCAAATCTTCTCCTCTCTCCTACTCCCCACTCCTACCCCTTGCCTTCATGACCAGCAACTGACCTTGTCTCCTACTTCACAGGGAGAACTTCCACAAGATCCTGCTTCCTGCAGCTCAGTGAAAGCCCATCATTTTCCTTCTTCTTTCCTCTTGGTCTTAGGAGGTGGTGGTTCTCCTGTCCAGAGCAAATCCCTTCACCTCTGCCCTGATCTCATTCCCTCCCTCCATCTCTGGGATGTCTCACCAGGCATCTCTTTCTCTCTTCGGTATCCTTCAAGATCTTCCTTTACTGGTTCCTCCCCTTTTTCCCTCCTAAAAATTGTTTCTTGATTCTACATGTCTCTCTGGATATTGTCTGACTTCTCTCCTGCTCTTTTCATCCAAGCTTCCTAAAGAAACTCTTTCAGACTTACTGGGTTTGGTTTCTGCCCCCACTGCATCACTGAAACTACATTATCTGAAGTGCCCAAAGACCTAATTGTAAAATCCAGTGGACATTTTTCAGTCTTTATTACCGGCGTCTGCAACTGCATCCAACACCAGTGTTCACTCTATTCTTCCAAAAACCCCCTCCCTCCCTGGCTTCCTTGAAGCCACTCTGTCCTTCTGATGCCAGAGCTAGCATCTCGAATGTGGGTTTGGTGGAAGCAGTTGGCTTGATCCAGCCTGTCTCCTTTGTGGTCCTCTCTCTTGCCCGCATTAGGTGCAACTCTAAGATCCTAGGATCTATCTGCCCCATACAGAACCAGGCCAGATTCCAGGGGCTTCCCTTTTATTGATGATTTGAGCCAGGTTCAAAGAGGCCTGCGCCAGGTGTTGATAGTGTCTGTGCCTGGAGGAGGGAAAAGCAGAGGTGAAAGGGTCAGGTGTGGGGGTCAGACATAGGGTCAGGCCAGAGGCTGTGTGGGCCAGGAGGCCCCGGGGGTCTGCAGTGGGAGCCAGGATGGCCAGAGGGCCCCTGCTTCTGTAGAGCCTCAGAGTCAGAGTTGCTGACGATGGCTTCTCGGAAAGTAGGCATCTCTGCAAAAGGCATATAGTCTGCTCCTGGGGGTAGAAACCGGTGCAAGTATGGGGTGCAGCAGGTGAGAGGGTGAGGTACTCCTGGAGGGGATGGTTGAGGGTGGGAGCACCTTCCTGCCCGGCCTTCTGACTGCCCACTCTTCTAGGTTGCCCCCTCACCATGAGGCCTCCCTCCTCGTCGCCGGGTCTCCTCAGTCTCAAAGAAAGTCTCATGTTCCTCCCAGCGACGGTCACAGGCCGCACAGAGGAAATTAGACTCAAAGCAATTGCAGCAACAACCTGGGGCAAGGAGGAAGCCAAGACAAGTATAGGGAATTGGTGTTCCCCCCTGGGCTGACTACATTCTCATCTCTTCCATACCAACCACAAACACAGGTTTCTTCTACCAGTTCCCCTATCCTTATTCCCAAACTATTTGCATCCTACCCATGCACACCCCTGTACTCCCCTCACCCTAGAAATTACCTTTCACCCTGCAGGGATGGGACCCAGTAGCTGTGTGCTCTTCATGGCTGTGTTTGCAGCGACATTGGGCCCTCCAGGCCTTGGGGTCAAAGGTAGCTCGTCTTTTGAGCCAGAACTCACCCACCTCCTCTGGGCGTGATGGGATAAAGCAGAACATGAGGCAGCGACACTGGCCCACATTGCAGGGCACGGATATGTCTAAGGGAATGGGGAGAAATGTCTAATGGGAATGGGGAATGGGGAACACCTAATAGGGCCAGGCCTTCCCATGCCAACTCCCCCCACCTCCCATACCAACACACACACTTTTCTGTCATATGGCCAGAGTATAGTTATCCCTTCCCCTGACAGGGGCTGGTCAGTTCTCCCCACCTGAGATGATCTGGTGCTCTTTCAGCAAGTGTCCACAAAAGCATTTGGACTCATCTCCAATCCGGAAACAGTCCCATAGATAATGGGGGCAGCGCCAGCCAATGTAGAGACCTGAGTGTGGAGGGATTAAGGAAAAGTGAGAAGGAAAAATAGCACAAGCCCCCTGCCCAAGGCGTTCTCACCTCTCCCCCTAGGTGTATTCACCTCCACCCATGAAGTTCCCATCCCCACCCCTTTAGACAATTTCCCACCAGGTTTTCTCAGTGTTCCACAAGGGTTTCAGTTCCTTTCCCACCCCAGGATCCACTCCATCTCTGTTAGCCTGTCAGAAATGACTGAAGACCATCTTCAAAATTACAAATGAAATTTTGTTTGAAGATGAACATGAATCTTGCCAAGTTCTCTGTGACTGTGAAGAATCCCATCTCTTCCCCTTCCCACATTAAAGCCTAACTTTGCTTTGTTTCCTTGAAGTGTCTAAGGTGAGGGAAGGGAAGATGACTGGCCAGGTGTAGAGGAGATGGTGAGGACTGGCACCTCAGAAGCATGGTTGTTGAAGGCACCAGAGGCAGAGGAGGAGGAGTTTGGGCAGCTCTGGGACCAGGAGGAGGGCTTTCCTCACTTTTCAAGGTTCGCACCTTCATATTTCCTTTTTGTGTTCTTGGTGTTATGGAACTAATGCTGTCTGCGAACTTGAGAAGGTCTGCCTATGGTTCTCTAAGAATCAGGAGAGAGAGGTAGGCCAGAAGTCATGAGTGGTGAAGATCAAGAAATCGAAGCTTGTGAGGCTAAGAAGTATCCCTGAGAGCAGGCACCAGTGAGATGCCACAACCTTTGAGAGCCTGGTTTCCACAGTGGGATCTGAAACTGGCTTCACAGGTCGGTGGTACTACAAGGCAAGGGTGGAGCCATGTAAATGTGGGAGGAGAGCCAGAGAGTACATTCCACTCAGATTTTCTCACCCTTCAGGAGACCTGAGAGTACTCCAATTTCTAGGCAAGAATCCTGGATGAGTCCTCATGGAATGGGACGTTCAGCCATAGGACCCATTCCCATTTAAAGGCTACAGTGAAGTGTCACCTCCGCTAAAAAGTTTTCCCTGACTTCCTCTTTCTGTCTAGGGGCCCATGTTTTTTACTTTTCCCACTACTCCTATCACAGTACAATGCATTGGAATCGATTTTTTAACTTATGTTTCTCTTAAACTAAGTTCTTCTAAGGAGGGGTCTGGCTTTTCATTTGCATCTCTTGTCCTAGCTTAGGGCCTGGCCCGAAATAGGTGCTCAGAGAGCACAGACTCCTTGACTGAGTAAATGAAGGAGAAAATTCCTTCAGAAGGGAAGAGAGACCCTGTATTATAGGCATATCCCTGAAGTTAGTGTCCTCTGGTCTTTGACTTTGGCCAGGGCCACAATTCACAATTCTGTGCCCAATTGTTAGTCTAGGTTTTCTTGCCTTACCCATGGTCTTTAAGGGTCTAAAGCCTATCCAGATGTGGCTTTTGGCTTTGCTACTTCTGTCTTGATACTGACAGCCTACAGTGCCAGCACCCCATTACACCAGCAAGGCTTGGTCGAAGGGGCAGTGTATGGGCAGAGTCACAATGGAGGTGAGAGGGGGCCAGGATTCTACTAGAGGAATTCTGAATTCCATCCAGAGGCTGAGCAGATGAGGCGTGGAAGTGAAGGAGGGTCAGTTCCCATAGATTGAGGTCCTGCCTGGGGGCCTGGGAGAGTCAAGTCCAAGTACCGATATAGGAGTCAGTGTTCAGCTCTCAGATGAAGACTAGAGTTTAAACAGAGACTGGCGACTATACCTCAGACTCCATTATAGGTGTCCATGTTCTTAAAGTGGGACAATTGACATCAGGCCATGTAGTCCAGAGTGGAACCCTCCTCTCTCTGCTCTGATTCCAAACACTCTTCCTGTTATAAGTGGACAAGGACTGGCGGGGGGAGGAGGCATTATCTGGGATGCCATTTTGACTCTGTACAAGGTGATTCTATGTAGTTTCGCCTTAAGAATCTTTGCCCCAAGCATTTTCACTGCAAACATTTTCACTACATGATCAATTGGCCATAGACAATTTTGCCACAAAAGATAAAATTACAAAAAAAAAAAGACATTCATTAAAAAGGGCATAATGAAACATGGAAACTGAATATCAAAATTAAAAATGGCTTTATTGCAAAATGCAAAAAAATGGAATTTAAAATGAATTTAAAATGTATAGAACAGATTCATGGCAATACCATGCAAATAACTCATTTTATTTTGTGGATCGTACTTAACCACTTGTCTTCAAAGTCTTAAATTCATAGTATTATACGTTTTTGTTTTTTGGTTGTTTTTTGTTTTTGTTTTTGGGGTTTTTTTTGCATGTTGATTCATCAGTTTGTTTTTGTTTTGGTTTTTGCTCATTAGTCATCACTTTTTCTTTTTTTGCTAAAATTTTCCCCTTCATTAAGAGGTATCAGTTTCCAAGTACTAGGATACATATTTGTAACTGAGCTTTGTATTGTGTTCTGAAAGCTTTCTACACTGCTCTTTGTTCTTGACAGATTGTCACATGTCCATTGATAGACATTCCAAAGTTGTATGGGAAGTTGTGTGGGTTTAAAACTCTGTGTCACTGTGTAGACAATTACGAAGCCCAAGATTTATGTAATATAAAAATAAGGGAACTGTGTCAATGGAGAAATGAAACCAAACTGTCAACCAGTTGATGAAACTAACAAACTGCCAAACCAAACTACCAACTAGTTATTTTTTTTATCTTTTATGGCAAATTGCCTTATGGTCAATTAATTTTGTGGTGCACTGTTTGTGGCAAAAGTGTCTATGGCACAGATGTTTACTCTGAAAATACCAGACAGTGACAATTGATTCCATGCTCATATACTATTTGCGTGATAACATCTCTTTTTGCTTAGAACATCTCCATACAACATACAGCTATTTTTACGTGAAGGATGTCTCCAGTCCAGACATATAGTCAGGTATCTCCATACTTTTTCAACAGCATGTTCCACCAGCTCTTCAAGTGTGGTACAGCCAATTATTCCTTTCAAACCTGGCCCTCAAGCTTTGTCCTCTGTTCATCCAAGCACATACTTATCATGCATCTTCTCTGTTTCACTAATGGCATCATCATCCAATCAGTATCTAAGCCAAAAACCTGGGGGTCATTCCAGGCATGTCCTTCTCTCTTATCCTATACATCCAAAGATCCAAAGGTCAGTTTTACCTTCTTAACATTTCTTGAACATTCTATTTCTGTCCACCTCCACGCATCTACTTCTGACCTGGATTATTATTACCACTGCCCAATGTAGTCTTCCTATGTGCAGTCTTATCTTACTGAAGTCTACACTACTGCCAGAGCAGTCTTTCAAAACCACAAATTTGCTCATGTTATTGTCCCACTTAAAACCTTTTAGTAACTCTCAGTTGCCCTTAGGTTATAATCCCAACTCTTGAGCTTTGCACAGAAATGCCTGTACACTTCTGCCCTTCCAGAGCTGAGCTCTGAGCTCTGTTCAACATTTCTTGCACTTTCCTACTGGCACCTTGCCCTCATATCCCACTTTTTACCTGTCCACCTCTTCTTACTCATCTTACAGATTCCAGCTGAGAAGTCATCCCTTCCAAGACTTATTCCCCGAGCACCCAAGATTAGGTGCCCTTTTTTTTTTCTGCTTATGAGGCACTGTGGACTGACCTCACTCATAGAAATTATTAGAATGAATTATAATTATCCTTTTTACTTATTGGTGTCTCTCATTAGAGTACACATTTTGTTTTAAAGATTTATCTATTTGAGAGAGAGAGAAAGAGAAAGCATGAGAGCAGAGAAAGTCAGAAGGAGAAGCAGACTCCCCATGGAGTTGGGAGCCCAATGCGGGACTTGATCCCAGGACTCTAGAACCATGACCTGAGCTGAAGGCAGATGCTTAACCAACTGAGCCACGCAGGCACCCCTAGAGTACACATTTTTTGAAGGATTTTGTTTTTGACATCCCACCAGCCACTGCTTCCACACCTGGCTCAATACCTGGCACACAGCTGGTGCTCAGTAAATGCTGACTAAATAAAAGAAAAGCTTACATTTGATCCTTCTCTACACAGCACATATACTGATTCTCTAGGGACTCAAGATCCCCAATATTAGGAGGGAACCCTAAATACCTTTTTCAGGATTGAATGACATTTAAATTACTACATAAAGCTGCCTGTCTAAACAGGAAAATGAAGAAGTTCTACGTGGAGAAGTATAGCAGCCTTGAAAAATGAGGTGCAGTCAGGAGGTTCTGAGAATGACCTTGCATTTCCAGGAAGAATAAGGGTGACAGAAGATTAAAATAAGCAAACAAAGCCATTTCAATGCCTGAATTAAGACAGATGAGATCATTGTGACTTTCTTGGCCAGGGGTAGAGGGGGAAGGGTCCCAGCATGAGAATGAGGAGAGTAAATTGCATGAGGAGTGAGAAGACATAGGATTGCTTGGTTGTCTTTATATCTTAGGCCCATCTAGTTTCAACATAACCCTCTTACTATCATAAGGGGAAAGGAAGTGTGAAAGACAAAAATAAATGAACTCCTGTCTATTGAATTGTCTAGAAACCCCAGAATCTGCAGAGCAGGTCGGGGTGGCCTTCATTCTGAAGGTATTTGCTATAGACACGAATTTCAGCAACACAGGTATACATGCTTGCACCGGAGGGCATGGGTTTCCATCTGCACACCTTTTATATGCAGGCATACATAAGCACAGCATGCCACTTATGGGGCTGGCAAGAGTACTGATTCTGGGCTGAGACTTGGAATCAATAGGGCTTGAAGTTCCCACTCTCCTCCTTGGTGAAGAGACTCACAGCTTTTGGGTACCTAGGTGATAATGAGTCTGGCATGCTGGGTGACAGCCTTTTAGTGAAGTTCCCCCAAGGGGACCAAAAGGCCTTTTGCCATGTCAGAGCCACAAGTCTCCTGGACTGTCTAGGGTCCTGGGCCATCTCTGCCTTAAGGTCTGTTTGGTCCAGGCTTTCAGAGCCCTAGAGGTGGGTCTGGTGTATGGCCATTCTTTTTTTTTTTTTTTTTTCCTTTTAACAACTTTAGTTTAGCTTCCTGTCCCTCCCTGGGCTTTATATGAATATCCCCACTTTTTTTCTGTACCATGCTATCCACATTGGCCCACCTGGCTTCTCCCCTCCTAGATTAAAGGCAGTTTAATTTTAGTTTGCCATTTCCACAGGGGACAGCAATCCATGGATCAGGGCAGGTTCCCTGGTCCAGTTGGATTGGAGGATGGCCATGGCCTGTCACAGGCTTCTGAAGGGTTTTCTGGGCTCACCTGTCTGGATGGCACTCAGGGCTGCATTCTTCTCCCATTGGAAAAGATAGTTCATCTGAGCACCGAACTTCTCTCTGGGCCTTGCCTTAGCCACTTCCACCAGCTCTGTTTGCTTGGCAGGGACCACTGGGTGGGCTGTGTAATCTGGGAAGGGAGAAACTGAGTAACCAAGGAGAAGTGTGGAGGCCCTAAAACTAAAAGAAGAGGCCAGGTTAAAGAGTAACCCAATCCCCTCCTCCTGGGGCAGGTATAAGACAGTGATGAGAATGGGGAAAAGCGCAGGCACAATTACGGCTAAATCCTTTCTTCCCCTTCTTCTTGCCCGGCTGTTGTCCTGGCTGAGCTGTGTGTGCGCTGCTGTCAGTGGCCTCCACCTGCTCCTTGTCCTCTCCTTCCTCTTCCTCTTCCTTTACAGATGTGTCCAGGTGGACTGGGGCTGAAGGGCTTGAAAGGGAGTGCTTTTGAAGGCTTTCATACTCAGAGATCTGGCTGGACTTCCTTCTCCACAAGACCTCACTGGGAGAATACTTAAAGAGGTCTTCCTCCAGAGTATCAGGGGAAGATACAGGAACATGGTCTTGTGATGAGGTATGAGAAAAAACATGTTTCTCTGGGTCCTTAAAGATGAGAGTCTCCAACAGGGTCTCAGGCATAGGGGTTTCCAAAGGGTTCTCAGAGTATCCTACAGGGGTCTCAGAGATAGAGGGCTCCAAAAGGGTTTCAGAGGTATAGGTCTCTGAAGGGGCCTGGGAAGTGGATGGAACCATAGGCGATTCAGAAGTGTGGACTTCTAAAGGGGTCTCAGAGATGGAAGTTTTCAAAGAGGTTTTGGAGGTGTGGGTCTCTAAAGGGGCCTGGGAAGTGGATGGAATCATATGAGATTCAGAGGTGTGGGTCTCTAAAGGGGTCTCAGAGATGGAAGGTTTCAAAGAGGTTTCAGAGGCATGGGTCTCTAAAAGGGCCTGGGAAGCAGGTGGCACCATATGAGATTCAGAGGCGTGGGGCTCTAAGGGAGTCTCAGAGATGGAAGGCTCCAAAAGGGTTTCAGCGGCAAGGGGCTCTAAGGGGGTCTCAGAGATGGAAGACTCAAAGGGTGTTTCAGGGATAGGGGGCTCCTGTGATTCTTCAGCAGAGAGGTCCTTTGAAGAGGGGTGGTCCTCTGTATCCATGGTGCTATGAGGCTCTTCTGTGACCTTGTCTGCTTCCATCTAGTGGTAGAATAGGGTACAGCCTTCATTAGGTTGGGACTGGAGGGTCTGCAAGTCAGAGTACAGTGGGGGTTATGGAATTAGGATAAGGATTTCCGTGCACCTGAGATATAAGGGGGAAGCAAGATGAACTTTGGTGCCAGGAGGTTCTTCTGTGTGCCTAGACCCCATGTGACATGTGGCCACAGATTGTGAGGGAGCTGGAATTTAAAGAGAGAAAAAGGCTGAAACAGTCAGAATCCCATCAGTAGATGGTAATAGAGGATCGTGACCCAGGAGGGAGACTGAACATAGCAACTTGAGTAGTCCAAGAGCACGTCCTGGGCCTTAGGACCATGGAGGTCAGGCAGTAGAGTTCTAGAGACTGGGATACCAAGCCAAAGTGGGGGTTTGCTCCTGAGTACAAGACAATGCCACGATGCATTAGGCAGGGCCCTGAGTGCAGTCTGGTTTTGTCTAGAGACCACATACTCCCTTCCTTGATGATGTCACTCATGTTCAAGGCTTCAGTTACTTCTAGCTGGTATGTGGATGATTTCCTAAATCCATACTTCCAGCTCAGACCTTTTAATCCCTGTACTTAACACTCATACCCATGGCTAAATGGATGTCCGACAGGGCATGAAAATTGAACTATGGGAATTATTTTGGGCTTACCCTTTCCCCTCAAACCTCATCTACAAATAGGCACTAAGGACTGTATTTCCTATCTTCTAAATAATTCCAAAATCCACTCTCTTTTCTTTTCCCTCTAATTTTGTTCAAGTTCTCAGAATTTTCTACCTTTATTATATAGTAACTTCACCCCTCTCTCTCCTCCAGCGTATTAATCCACTCAGCCATTCTTTCACTGATTTATGTAACTTTTGCTTTTATAAACAACTCAATCTTACACTTTCACCTAGGCACTGTGCTAAGCACTGGACTCAGTTGAAAGAACCTGGGAAGGAGATCTGGCTAACCAAAATAACAATACAGATGAGTTGGTGTTGTGCTGGGGTAAGCTCAGGATGCTCTGGAGTGGGGTGTGACAAATTTGTCTTGGAAGGATGTCCAAAAGAAGTCAGTCCTCATTAATGATCCAATGGAGATCTTTCTGAAAACATAAACCTAAAAACGGCATTCCTTTGCTTAAAAACACTCAATTGGGGACGCCTGGGTGGCTCAGTGGGTTAAGCCTCTGCCTTTGGCTCAGGTTATGGTCTCAGGGTCCTGGGATTGAGCCCCACGTTGGGCTCTCTGCTCAGCGGGGAGCCTGCCTCCTCACCCACCTCCGCCTGCCTCTCTGCCTACTTGTGATCTCTGTCTGTCAAATAAATAAATAAAATCTTAAAAGGATTTTATTTATTTATTTGACAGACAGAGATCACAAGTAGGCAGAGAGGCAGGCAGAGAGTGAGAGGAAGCAGGCTCCCCCGTTGAGCAGAGAGCCCGATGCGGGGCTCCATCCCATGATCCATCCTGGGATCATGACCTGAGCTGAAGGGAGAGGCTTTAACCCACTCAGCCACCTAGGCGCCCCAATAAATAAAATCTTTAAAGAAAAACAAAACAAAACACTCAATTGTCTCAGCCTAAGAATTAAGTTTAAATTTCTTGGCCCTGAAATTCAAGGCCTGTCATTATTTGCAATAGAGCCTAAGTATTCCAGCCTTAGCCTTCTGTGGTCCCTACTTTCCCGCCGTGCTCCAGAGATACTAAACACACCACTTAACACTCATTAGAGTCTTTCCAAAGGGGAAGTTTGGGACATTAAGTAGGGAGAGAAAGGTAGGGTGATAGGAATCTGACTAGGCATTCAGCAAGAGGAAAAAGAAACTTGAGGGTGGAGAACCAGAGGATGGGAGGAGAAGAAGGAGAAAAAGAAGGAGAAGAGGGAATTGTGGGGAGTAAACGTGGCGGAGGGGGAGTGTAAGGATGAAAAATACAGAATGGGAGGGGGTTGGACTGAGTTGGAAAGGGGCAGAAGGTGTTAGGAAGGGAGTGGTATGAGAGTTTGGAAGAGGAGGCTTTGGAGAAACCACCTACCTCTGGGCTTTGGCTTGGCTGTTACAAGTCCTTCCTTAGGTCACAATCTCGTCTTAAGATGGGAAGGGGAAATGTTAGCGAGGGGTGGATAGCTCTTGGATGAGACCCTCCTTGCGGTTGCTATGTAATGAGAAGCCTTGCCTTCAAGTCTACCACTTGGGGAGGGAAGTTGGACACCTGCAGAAATTTGCAAAGGAACTCTGGCCAGACCTGGGGGAGGGCGGGACGGGGAGGGATGAGGGGTTCCGGGGCCGATGAGGGAGGAGCTTGACTGAAACCTCTGGAACCAGGGCTGGGAGTGGAGGGATCCGTCACCAGGGCAACCGGAACGCCCAGGAGTCTCCGTGGCAACAGCACTGGACTCCAGAGGAGGCTGCATTGGACCCGCAGGGGACGAGCCTAGAGGGTTCACTTCTTTTAAAGGGGTTTGCGGGATCTCTGTGAGTGTTTGGATAGTCTGCGGACATCTATGGGGACGTCCCTAGGTGTCTGGGTTTGTGAGGGTCTCTGTAGGGTTCCCATGAGATGTCTGTGGTTCTATCACTGGAGGCTGTGAGGATCTGAGGTTGGCAACCGGGCTCCGAGGTTGGGGTGAGAAAGGCAGGGGATCAAGGGACTGGGGCGGAGTCTGTCCTCGGAGGCCAGCAGAATCAAGTTGGAGACCAATAGAATAGGGCAGGGGGTGGGCTATACTGAGAAGAACCAATCGAGCTGATAGAGGGGCGGAGCGTCATAACTACGTCAGACAGAGGCCGCCGCCGCGGGGCCTGGTTATCGCCCGTCCAGCGCAGCCCGGAGTCGCCCAGGCCTGAACTCCTACCCAGGTCCCCGGCCTGGCCTCAGCCGGCCTGACCCCGGCCCCGGGCCCACGAGGACATCGAAAGCCACTCCCTGGGGGTGGGGAGCGGAGCCGTGGGTCAGCTCTGCGCGCGCCCCGCGCTGGCCTGTCCGGCCCCGCCCCCGCCCCGGGCCATGGCCCAGCCCTTGTCCCGGCCCCTCGTCCTATCCTCATCCAGCCCTTGGCCCCCAGCCCCGCCCTCGCCCCGCTTCCCAAATCGGCCCCTGCCCTGGCCTGGGTCCCAGCGAATGCCCAGATCCGAGTCTCAACCCAGGCCCCCCCTTCAGTCCAAGTCCCAGTCCCTGTGGTTGGCCTGGCCTCCAACCCCTCCTTTGCCCTTGTTCCACCTCCTGTCACAAATCCCAGCCCAACCCCTGTCCCAACCCCATTCCCAGTGTTTGCTTAAACCCGGGGCGCAAATCCTGCCCTTGCCCCAGTCCCCATTACAGCCCCTCCTTCCATCCCATTCCCTGCCCTTGTTCAAGCCCCAGTGCCCAGCACAGCCCAATCCATTATCTCAGCCTTTGCCCTCATCTCTGTGTTTACCCAAGTCTCTCCCACTACCCACCCCTTTCTCTCATACCCTGCCACTCTCCCAGCCTCGACTCAGGTCTGGGCTCCAGCTGCCGCCAGCCTTATTGCTGCTGTTGCTGTTCTCTGTCCTTGGCCCAGGGGCTGGTGAGTGCAGAAGCAGGAAGATTGAGGCAGGGATGGGGTTCTGGCAGGGAGGGGTGGACTGGAGGGATTCAGGAGACGTGGGACCCGGGCAACTAGATCACTGGGGAAGAAGTAGGGAGAAATAGGGAGGAGAGAGGTCTTAAACAACTGAGAGAAACTGGGAGGGTAGGAAGAGAGGAAATTGTGGGCTTGAGGCTCAGCATGTGCCTAATAGTCCCCAGGTCAGAGACCTCAAGGTTTTCTTTCCTGGTAGCATCCTGACCCTGCTTTGACTCTTGCTTTTCCAAGAAGGAAAACTTGGAAGCTTCTTCTGCAAGGGAAGTTCGATGGGGGAGGCATGATCCTATATCACAGAGCCTCTCTCTAGTCCAGTGTGGGAATATCTAGCCTAAACTTTGTGATACTGGGCATGCATTAAAACAGGGTTAAGAAAACAGTTTTGAGAACAGCATGTAGCAAACAGATGGACATGGATTAGTTTTCTTCTTGTAATGAGTCTTATTCCAGATAAGTTTGATTTGCTTAGGAATAATTCCTGATACTTTTATTTTATTTATTTTAAAAGATTTTATTTATTTATTTGACACAGAGAGAGACAGATCACAAGTAGGTAGAGAGAGAAGGGGAAGCAGTCTCCCTGCTGAGCAGAGAGCCTGATGTAGGACTCCATCTCAGGATTCTGAGATCATGACCTGAGCTTAAGGCAGAGGCTTAACCCACTGAGCCACCCAAGCGCCCTCCTGATACTTTTAGAGCAGTCTTGAAATATAGAGGCCATTTTATAGATGGGGAAACAAGCTCAGTTATGGGGCAGTTTTCCCAAGGTCATACAGCTTGTAAATGGCAGTACTGGGGCTAGAAAAAGTTTCCTAATTCCTGTTTCATACTAGTTTTTTTTTTTTGTTGTTTTCACTGCAACATATGCCTGATAGGAAAATAGACCCAGTTGAGAGAGGACTGAAAGCACAACCTGTCCTGTCTTCTGTCTGCTCACACAGGTGCTTAATCCACAAACTCTTCCTCATTAGCCAATTGTCAGCCTAGGAGCACCATCCAGGGAGCAAGTAATTCGGAGAAGGGGAGGCCCAACTTCTTAATGGATGGAAAGTGGGAGCAGGAGGGGGTCCTGGCTGTAGGAGATAGGCCATAAAGTTGGCCCCATCTTAAGGAGATGACTGTAGTCTTCACGGCCTCACAGCCCCCAGTCCCCTCTGGCACTCTAGATTGGATGGAGATGTGCCTAAGGGAGTCTTTGGCAAAAAAATAACAGAGCAGCTGGGGTGGGAGTTGAGTTTCAGTGAGCTTTGGGGACCTAGTTCAGTGTATAAGCTTAAGGAGATCAGTACATGCCGAAGGTCATGCCCCTGCAAAAGTGTCCAAGCTCTATATGTGTGTTCACTGGCACCTGGGTACCTATGTGTTTGTGTACCTGAGGGGACTGGGGAAATGCTGGTCATGTGCAGTGTGTATGCATGCTTGTGGTTAGTATGTTAGTATGTTCTGTGGCATGCATATTAGGCCCTAAGTCCTCCAAATACCTATGTTATTGCGTGACGGGGAGAGTACGTGTTGTGGCCATACATATTCCTCTTCAGCTCTTCCTTCTCTTATAGACAGATCACGAAGTTTCACTTTCCGAAAAGTGCATTTCTTAGTTGGAGGCTGCCTCCCACAACATCTAGGAGTAATCCATGTGCCCCTAGCCTGACTCTTGTAAGGAAGGGGCTATAGAGGGGCTCAGTGTTGATGACTGCTGCTGGCAAATTAGGCACTCAGTAGAGGTAGTAGCCAAACCAGTTTTTCAGTTTAGGTGAGGGAGAATCTACTATTGAACCTAATTCTAGCTTCCATCCCTACCAGCATGGCTTCTTTGTTCGAGAGCCCATTGAGCAAGCATGGGCTGGCTAGGGGAGGACGGTGGCTGACAGCCACAGAACTGTAGGAAGCTCAAAGATGTGGATTAAAAGACGATTGTCCAGAAGTAGGTTCAGGTGCTTTGGGGAGAATTGTAATGAAGTTGGAAAAGAGCTCTGAAGAGGCTCTACTAAGGGCTGCCCTTCATGTTGTTAATAATCCCTGCCCTGTGGCTGTGTCCTGGCCTGAAGAGGTGCTCTGTGACCTGGTGGTGGTGACAGGTTTCACCTGAGGAGAGGCTGGCAGTGTCACAGGACCATCACAGCACATCAGAGCACATAGCATAGTGTTAGTAAATGCTTTTTGTTGGCTTCAGTCTCATTTCAGGAATGGAAGGTACCTCCTGGGTCTCCTGGTCTATCCTAATCCTTGGGTCTTTTCCTTGGGCTCAGTTGACTATAGTTGCGTAGCTCAGGTGTGCCTTGCCATCCCAGGAAGTGACCTTTTGTTTTACTTAGTGCTGTCACTAGCAGGACCAGCCTCTGCCTGTGTGTGTGTGTGTATGTGTGTGTGTGCGCGCACACGTGCGCATGTGTGTTTCAGATGGTGGTGGAGAATCACCATAGCTTCATGTGGAAGCATGGAACATCCAGGGTAGGTTTGTCTGAGCTTGACTAGGGCTTTACTCATGCTTCCTCTGGGACACAGCTCTGTAGGCCATTGTGAAATGCCAAACCAAAGCTTGGAGTGAATGGGGCTGTGGACACCTCCTCTAGCATTTGCCCTCAGAACTTCTAGGTTCCTCCCACCATGTCCATTTGCTGCTCACTCACTTTTCCCACCAGCCCATTCTGTGACCTCTGTAGCCCCTGGCCACTTTTTGGGTGGCTTAACCAGTTTCCCAGTTCTCCAGGCCTTGCCATGTTCCTTTGAATCACAGGGGTTTTTTTGTACTTGTACTTTTGTACTTTGTGCTTATCCATTGTTTCCCAAAAGTCATTAGCTGCTTTTCACCACCGGTTCTCTGAGGGTCTGCCCTGAGGGCCTGGCCAGTATTTCTTCCTAGCAATAGCGGTGGCCCATCCGATGACCCATCCCTAGTACCAGCTTTGGGGAGGAGAAGCTCTCCCCTAAACCCAGCAGAGGGTGCTCCAGAGCTCCACTTCCTTGTAAACAATAGTAGCCCGGCTATTCTGCTCTTGGCTTCCGGCCTCCCTGTTATCAGAGCTTATTTCGAAAGGGGCAGGTTTTCCTTGCTGACAGTTGAGACTGATCCAGTGGTCTGAACTGGACTGACTAGTCCTTGGCTTTGAAGCCATGGCTTTGAAGCTGAGCATAGGCCAGTCTAGGGCCAATATTTACATACTTTAGGGCAGCTCCCTGCAGGGTGACCTTGAAGTTCAATAGCACCTTCCTTTCCAGTGTTCCTTCCTTCAGCAACCTCCCTTTCCCAGATGCCTCTTTCTCTGTTATTTCAATACCTCATCTTGAGGTATAGCTCCCATTTCTAGAAGGGACTTTGTCAGACTAGGTATGCCCTGTGGGTATTTACTATTTGGCTGAAAACACCCCACCGCAGTTTCCCCTCTATCCCCTGCTCTGTCCTGAAAGCTGCTGGTGTTCCAGCCTTCTCATCAGTCCTGGGGGCACCCTTCTGTGCTTCTCTAGGGCTGATCTTAAGTTTCCAGAGCAGTCAGATTCTCCAGAACTTTGCCTGCCATCAGAGACACTCTTCTGTGCCTCTGAGTTACTGGGTGGTTTTCACTGTCAACAGTAGTCTGAGTGGCCATGCATTTGCCTGGAGAGCTGCTGACACCAGACTTTTTTTGCTCACCTTGGCTCTGCTGTGAACAACCATGATCAGGTACTTGTATTTTGACACTTCAGTTGGAGATGACCTGTCCCCCCAAGCCCAAGTGTGAATATTTCCAGGTGGTTTGAGATTCCACTGAGTCACTGACTGACTGCATCACTGGGCCTCCCTCGGGAAACGCCCTCTGGTTGCTCATTCTGAATCCTACAGGACCTGATGACTCCCCTCCTCTCCTGGGAGTTCTCATGGTGGCCTACAAGCTCCTGTTTTTG